AACAATAAAGGATGAGTGACCAAAGCGTATGTGTTGAAGTTGAATGCTTTTTTTAATTAGATTTAAGGGTTTCTGAGCAAATAGGCAATCGTGAATATTGCATGGAATTTTCTTGATCATAAGACTCCCTAAGGTGACAGAGAACATATCAATCATTTTCTCTCATGTCCTACTCCCGAAAGACATAATTTGAAGAATAAAACACGTTACTATATTCAAAATATTTAATCAACATTTGAATCAAAATTTTGTTTGCAAATAATGTAATTACATGTATAACATCCTAGAATGTTGGAGATTTGTTTAAAAAATACTCCATGATCGGTCATAATGGCTAAGGGTCCATCATGTATGAGTTAATCATAATGGCTAACGATAATTTTTTTTTGTCGTTAGAATAAGAGGTGTATGAAATAAATTTGTGAAAAGAGTTAATCATAAGAAAGACTTAAAATAAACATGTCTGAGACTTTAAAGACATTAGATGATGAGGCAATGCTTAAGAATACTATAATGTATGTAGCTATTATAGATGTCTTCTTAAGTGCCCCTAGCAAGCCATTTATCATTGTGTGCAATGTGAATGGCTCAATTTTTTTATTTTTTCTAAGAATCTACAAACCAATCACAACAATTTTACATAGTTTATTTTTTCATTCAACTGATTTGTTGAATGGATGTCATTAAATTTAGACTGCATCCCTCAATTCCATAAGAATTTGAAACCACTGGTTTCTGTGTAGTGCTACTATTATATATGGAGATATAAAGTATGGTTCGATTTACAAAACTAATAGAAAAGGAAAGAAATGTGACAATGTCACAGTGAAGGCTACAAAAGTGGAACTAATTTGCAACAATGCGACAAAAAAATATTGAAAAATAGAGAAAAGAAATAAAATGCAACAATGAAAGTCGCCAAATTGTGGTAATGTGGCAATGAAAGCTACAATAATGAAATACATAGAAGTGAAGAACTCTACAACTCCAGTACCATGATAAGAATTTGAGAGAAAAGCTGAGTATTTCATTCCAACAGTCGTGAAATATTTATTCTAGGCTAGAAAATCTGCTTAAGAAACATCAAAACCAGGGAGTAATAATTGCATAATAATTATAATAGTTTAAAGAATTGGAAGAATTATAATTATAAAAATTGGAAGAATTATAATTATAGAATAATTATAATAATTCATGTATTGATGGATACACAATTAAAATCCCATGGATCGATAAGGTTTAACAGAAGAGTTAAGAAAGTGTAGAAGTCTTGAACACTATGAGTCCCAACTACATGAAATTATGTTGGTGCATCACACATCCATCCAATTACACCGAACTTCATAATTTAGGAGGTTTATACGAATTTCATAAATCCTAAATAAGAAGGACAATAAAAGATAAACAAAAGCACAAAATGCTAGTTCTAATGTTATTTCAGAGTATTTGCAAGAGATTGGAAGCAGACGAGCAGGGCCTCAATTTTTTAGATTGTTTCCATTTTTCCTTTTCTGCAGCCATTCATGCAATACTACAACCAATTCTAAAACTTCCTTCTTTCACCAGAATACTCTACAACATACTCAATACAACAAGAACTTAAAACATCTCAGTCGCAAATTATCTTCCTTTGTATCCTTTATTGAACCTGTCTATTCCAAGGAAACCAGAATTATACACTAAAATTTGATCCACTATTTATCATTATCTTACATCTCTGTAAACCTTCTATCTCATTAACTCAGACTTCACTTTGGTAGAGCCTTTTAATCCAGCATGAAATACTTACAGTGGCATTCAGAAATTTGTGTTTACAAATTACTCGGTTCAAAAGTAATGAGATTTTCAAACTCAAAAGTTCCAAATCACATTATGCAGTCAGAAAGTCCAATATATCAAGAAAATTAAATTCCCGATACCAAATGAACCGCATAATCCTGAGATATAAAAGTTCAGTGAAGTGTTAATATACTGTCCGAGATTTCAAGAACTAATGGCAAAAAAGATGTTAACCATTACAAGAACTAGCGTAATCCCAACTATTTTGGGTCCACTTCATCAGTGCTAGAAAATAACAGAAAAAGTAAAAGCAAAGTGGGCAAGGAAAAACTGCAGATAATATAAAAGACAACTAATAAGAATAGGTGATGGAGTACACTCTTTTTAATTATTTCTTATTATTTACCTCCATCCATAGTTTTTTTCTCTATATCTCAATTATATCTTTCTTGTCATGTCGCTTCTCTCTCTCTTCTTTCTTCATCTAACCAAAGATATTCATTACTTTCATCTCTCCCTATCTTCCCTTTCCTTCTTTCTCACACACGCTGACATGAAAAAAATCAAACCGACTACTTTTGGATGTTTAATTATGAGGTTTATGAGGATGAAAATCAAAATTAAAAAAAAGGTTCAGAATTTTATTTTTCAGAATTTTATTTGGCTACATATTAATATAACTACCAACAAAATTTTTAAAATTTTGTATCCAAGCTTAGGCTATATCTATCCATTAAAACTATCTCTTTTAAACTTTGTGCTAATTTTGTAGAGAGCAAACATTGTGCTCCATCAAAATCAATATTCTTTAATCTGTACTCAATTATAGAAATTTAGAACTTAACTTTTTGCAACACATCCCATCAATTGTTTAAACAGGTTAACTGATTTTTTTTTACAAACCATGTGATATGATCCGAGAAGATTTTTCCATAGAAATAGAGCAAGTTAATATTTTATTGCAAGAACATCAAATAACCAGCACGAATACATAAGATAAGCACCTACAATTTGAGAGGCGAGCAATCTGTCCCAAATCCTACAATTCGAGATATAAGAAATTTCTCCCAAACCCTGACCCTAAAACTCAAAACAATAATCTCACGCATCTCCTTAACCCTAAACATATTAGCCCTATTCATACCCCACAATAATAAATAATAATAAAACTAAATTGCCCTGAGACTAATAAAAGACTAAATTAACCTTAAGCATGATATAACAACATGCTTCCTTTATGTTGCTCATCTTTGTGAGTATGCTACTCAAATCCTCATATGCTGGTATTTTATTCAACAGTAAGAAATCAACCTCCAACAAGCCTCGATTAAAATGAAATTTAAATTGAATATACTTTATTATGAAACATAATGTTACATTCTTACTAAACATATTACACCCTAACTATCAAGAAAAATGAATAACATAACCAAGTCCGTCTCCTAACATTTTAAATAAGTTATAAGCTAAAATATTTCTTTACCTAATGCTAGATAAAGCTACAAATTTAAATATTGTGATATCCAACAGGTAGCGGTACCACCGAATGTATAGATGTATCCGCTCAGATATAGTATAACTTCGAGTATCCAAATCATTAACTAAATCAGTATAAACTAAGCCTAGCACTTCTTACCACTCTTGCAGAACATTAATGATGTAGTAATAATATCCCATAACATCAATTTCAAATGTTCATCGCCACAACTCCATAAGCTACATACTGGTCTAGCACGCCATATGATAGGTGTATTAGCAAACCAAAATGTGAATCATAAATTTGACCATATCATTTGTCTCCTTATTAGCTTCAGGTAATTAATGCTTTGAGAGTTTAAAGCAACAAGGCAAGAAACTACTCACACACTTTTAACTTTAAAATTACTTAACAAGTTCATCAAATAAATCAACATAAGATAACTTCAACGTATTGGCCAATCTTTCATGACTAATTCTCATCCTAAGAATATCATTCGCCTCTCCCAATGTACTTCAATTCAAACTTATTTAACAGTGTGTATTCAATATATTTATCTCACTAGTGTTCGCTCCTATAGTCAACATGTCATTCAAAAAAAAAATAAATAAATAAATAAAATAATGAAAATAAAACTAGATATGTCATTCCTAAAATCAGCATGGTAATAGTGTAATACAACACTTAATATAGCACAATGATTTGCATTACATGAGAAAGAGCCAATTTGACGCATTAACCCATAAAATTTTTTGACAAAATTGACGATGACCATACTTTAGACCATGTAGCCTTTTACTAACAAAGAAAGCCATAGAGGCTTCAAAAAAATTAGATTGCACCGTGTAAATGTTCACCTCCAAATCACAAATAGGATGTAAATTTCTATTTTTATCCTACTCAACACAATTTTAAAAACATTCAATTTAACAAATGGAGAAAATTGTAACTAAAGCTCCGATCTTACAATTTTTGGTCTTGTTTTGTACCTTTTATTGACCTTGTGGTATTCCTTGATCTTAAAAATCCAATTTGTTTTGCAATGCCCTTTATCCTTTGTATTTTTAATAGTCTTTTTCCATAAAGAGCCAATCTCTTCTACTACTGACAATTCCCACTGGATTGTGTCTTTAACCCACACCGCTTCTTGAAAACACTCAATTTAATCACAATACAGAGCATCCTAAACATTGATATTTATAAATCAAGCACCCAGATGATTTTTTCAACTATAGAAACGATGCATTCACGTGTGCCACAATCAAACAATTGAGAATTTGATAAAAACAAAAAGTATTGTTTGGGGTTTTATCATAAATTTTGATATTTGAGTGAGAATTTGAAAAAATGGATTCAAAAGGGTGCTTGATTTGTAAATAGCAATGTTTTGAGTGCTCTGTATGTAAATAAAACATTTACAAGTAAGCTAAAACATCCTTTAAGATCTTAATTGAACAGCTTCGAACGCCTAAATATTGCATCAACAATGAATTTCAAAATCTTATAAACAAGTGGAGCGTAAAAATCTTTTAGACTTCTACAAATTTATCGTAACAGCTCTTCGGACAAAAATAGGGCATGCAAGCCACGAATTGAAAGGTTTTACTAAGGGAATCGAAGCATCAAGCATAACCTACATACACA